GCTTTATAGAACAGATGTGTTAAGTGATATGGAACATTTTGTTTTGTCATTTTCCTTAACGCAGCATACACACACTACAGAGATCTGATCACTTGCTTCTTGAAAATTGGACACAATGATAGCCAGAATAATATTTGATAGGCTATATATTTTATATCTTAGTTGATCATTTTGACACACACACACACACAATGAATTGGAAAACAATTGTGAATTTTGTCCTCTAAGCAAAATTTTGTATAATATTGCTAGTTGCTGGTTAAAGAAGTGAACACTACAACGACAATGACATTGGAAAGGGTCAATTATATGAACAGATTAATTAATTATTCAAATAATTAAAATATTTATAATATAAATATTAATATATATTTATAATTTATATTATGTAAATATAAATATTTTATATATAACATATTTTTCTTAAATATATACATGCATGTGTGTGTATTTATATATAGGCTACATAATAAAAATATATACAATTTAATAATCATTTTTTAGATTTGTTGCCCAACAATGGTGTTGTTGTACATTTGGGATTTGGACTTGTTCTGTAGTTCACAACTACTTATAACAAAAAAACATTAAAGAATGAGATGTATTAAATGTCCATAATGACAATGGTGTTGAACATCTCTCCACAGACTGAAATGAACATTTGAAGGTCCATGGCATTCCAGATCTCACTTCCAATTCCAATTCCAGCGGTTCCTAGAAAAACAGACCCTCTAATAAAATGCATCATAGACAACAAGGCAGAGAGACTTCGCAAATTAATAAGAGGCAGAGATATTAATGGACTGTACTCTTCTGAAGACTGGAAAGATGATGTTACTCCATTATCTGCAGCAGTTTTATGCAGAAATGAAGAAATCTGCTCTTATCTACTTAAAGAGTCGGCTGATCCAAACAAACCCTCAACAAGTGGACGAACTCCTCTACATTACGCTGCTTTAACTGGAGTTCAACTGACTATTGTGAAAAGATTACTTGCAGCAAAAGCTGATCCAGATGGATTTTAGTTGTTCACTCCATTACAATGTGCTGTTGATCATGATCGTGAAGACATTGTGAAAGCACTTATAGAGGCTGGAGCTTCACCTGAAAGGAACTATGGGGTGAATCCAGAGCTTGATAAAAAAGTGGAGAAAGTTATTTGTCGATTGTCTTCACAGAGTCAAGTGTTTGAGAAAGTACATCTGTTTTTCTCTCTTTCTTGTGCTGTACGAACGAAAAAGGAGATAGAAGTTTTCAGAATCTATAAGGAATATTTATTTCAAGAGAATCCTATCATTCATACAATTTTGTTTGAGGTGTATTTTGGTGTCATTGGTCAAGGTGCGGAGCAGTATCATCAGAGCGCCATCAAGTGGTTAAAAGATACTAAGAGTGCAGACAGATACATGGAGGGAGTCATCAAACGCTTCCCAAGAATCCCTCAGAAACACTGGCTGATTGCACTGGACTGCTTATATGCTGCTTTGTGTGTCAGTGAAAGCATTTCTCCTCCAGTATTCAGTGATCTTGTGTCAATTCTAACAAAAAGTCTTCAGCACTCTGGAAATGCACAAGGAGCAATAATCAGTCAGCTGATGATACTCAATGTCATGATGCAGAAGACGTCTGAGCAGAAACTGGGACTAAACCTTTCTGTCTATGAGAAGTTATACAAAAGTCTATTGCCTCTCACACGTCCTGATTATTCAAGTCTAATTAGAGTTTGGACCTATGGACTGTTTGCCTATATATATGACATTGCTCCTAAACTTGTAGCATTGCCCTCTATCCCAGAGATGATACTTAACACCGCAGAGATAGAGATGGATGAAGTCATGAAAAAGAAACTGCAAAAGTTGGATGAATCACTGAGACATCCAGCAGGTTCGAGTGCAGTGGAGAGTTTATGTGAGGAGACTGCAGCTCTATCAACAAGCAGGAAGAAGAAGAAAAAGAAAAAAAAAGAAGAAAAAAATCCAGCAAGAAGAAGGATCACAAGAAAGTGAAGGTAAAGAATCATTTCCAGACACTGTAGTGACATCCATTGAGGAATCAAATTCCAGTGTGCAGCCGTTCACACAGCCTGATGAGACAAGTATCCCAAGAAGGTGGCATCAAACAAGCCATCGTTGGAGGTCTAAGCTTGAGAAGCTAGCTAACATTGATGCTAGCAAGACATACAGACTGGGAAGCCTTACTCTTGTTCTTGACCCTGAATTTCTGATCGCTAAGGGAAGTGATGGAACGCAGGTTTTCCTTGGTTTGAGGGATGACGGCACTGAGGTGGCTGTGAAACGAATGAACAGGTTTAATTACCAAGACCTCAGAAACGAGGAGGAATTTCTACGACTCCCGGAACTTGAAAGTCCCTCCATCGTGCGATATGTGGACTTTGCAGAGGATGCACATTTCGGATATCTTGTTCTTCAGCTTTGTGAGTACACACTGGAGGAATATATCCAAGATCATTTACCAGATGACAGCGCTGAGAGATCTTTGGTTCTGAAGAAGCTGGTGAAGGAAGTTCTCTGCAGCTTACAGGTTTTACACGACAAGAAGACCAAAGTGCTCCATCGAGACATCAAACCCCAGAATGTCCTGATTGGTAGGAGCTAAACTTATGTGATTAAATTAATTAGAATACTTTTTTTTCTAGAAATAATTTGAACTTTCTGTTTGTTACAGACATAAAAGGACAAGCCAGATTGGCTGATTTTGGCATAAGTCGCCGACTGAAACAGGGCGAAACCACTTTACGAACAAGCATCGCTGGAACTAGATGCTGGAAGGCAAAAGAGACCATAAATCAGAAAGTCAAAACTGGCTACAAGAGGAGCGCCGACATTCAGGTGGGTTTTCAATATTTATCAATTAACTCAAAGTTTGCTAAAACTTTACTAATTCTGAATTAACACTGTAACTTGTTTGAAGGTTGCTGGGATGTTAGTCTACTACATTCTCTCTGGAGGACACCATCCATTTGGTGAAGATGTGGATTGTGAGTACAACATTTCACGAGGAAGATACTCACTGGAGCATCTGGATGATGACGTAGTGAAGGATCTCGTCGAGTGGATGATCAATGAAAATCCAAATGAGAGACCAACTGTGGAGCAAACCCTTGCACACCCCTTCTTCTGGACTAATGACAGGTATAATGTGATCTTGATGACATTTGACAGGTCAAATACAGTACAAAGCATACCCAATATGTTCCTTTTAAGCCTAAAACAATCTGTTTTCAATCACAATTTATTTGTATGTAGTTTTTAGACTCTATAGAATAGATACAGCTGATTGTAATATGTTTCTGAAATCGTCTCAGGAGAGTGCGGTATCTGAAAATATTGGGAAACGAGAAAGAGGCTGAAAACTGCCATAACGCAGATGAGGAGCTGCTTAATGCCATTGCAAAATACAGCGAGGGGAAGAGCTTTTCTGAATGGAAGACTAAAGTAAGTCAATCATTTTAAAAACCAGCTGTTATTGCTTATTTTATGCAACATAATTGACCTTGCTTTTATTGTTGAAGTTTAATTGAAAGCTTAAATCTTTAATAAGTAATGTGGAAATGCATTGTTCACTGTCAAAATATGGTTTTCACAGTTGCCTTCTGAGCTTGTGCAGAAACTGGATGGTAAGAAGAAAGCCTATCCTGAGAACACACTGGGCCTGCTGCGATTTATACGCAACCTGCACGAGCATTAGTGAGTTACAGGAATAACTGGCAACGGATCGTTGAATTGCAGGAAAATGTTGCATATCAAATCCTGGGCTGGTAATGCAATGTTGATAATGCAAGACGGAGTACAATTAAATTAGCAACTGTTCAAGAATGATCAACAGGCAGGAGAGAAGTATCAAAGAATTGTATAAAAAATGAGTTTCAAACTCATTCAGTTTTAAGACTTTCTTGCGCAATAATTGTGTTTTATGTCATTCTCTCCACAGTAAAGCTGATGCTGTGACAATCAACCTGATGGCTTTATTTCCTGATCTCTTTGGGAGTGTGTACATTTTTGCCAAAGAGAGAAGATGGCACTCCAGGGAAAGTGTTCGTATGGACATCAAGTCGGCGTCATGAACGTTAAGATCTGACATCAAATTTTGCAGTCATTGCAACACAGTGACTGAGCATAAATACTGAACATTTACACAGTAAAGCTTTTAAACAGTTTTAGTTTTTTTCTCTCAGTTACTAAAACACAGATCATTTCATCTTTCAACAAAACTGAAAATCTTTCGTCTTTTGTTACATAAATCTGTAACATAAATTTGAAAAATATATAAATACATTTTTAAATATTTTGTACTTGCATGCAATTTACCTCATGGATCATGAAAACTTTTCAGTGCCATGTGAGACCTGCTGTGGTGCTGTTTCTTGCTGTTTAGTGTTTTTAGAGACAAAAAAAAAATATATAAAAAAGTGCCTTATAACCTGGTGAGCCTGGGATTGGCAGAAAAACTCATGATATAAATATTGGCAGATATTTATGGATATTGGCAGAAAACTCGTCATATAAAAATGAATCATAATCACACCTTTTGATTGGTTAGGTAATGTATTATAATGTGACAACTGCACATAGCAGTATTATAACATGTCCCATCACGAACTATAATGAACGAGTTCGAATACATTCAGTGCTGTGCAGTAGTCGGATTCAGAGACGTTTATTGTTGTTATGTGTTAAGAAAGTTGTTATTATTATGCAAATAATGTGCAAAATATATAATGGCTCATCCGATTTAAAACAAATGTAGATCTATTCCTCTCAACTGACCTTTGTCTTCTTTTTACGTTTCTCTTCATTTGTGTTTTTCGCCATCTACTGGTTGGATATGTTCAGTGCCTAAAATAAAAATGAACTACCTTTTATTGCACATTGTTTGATAAATTCGCTATTGAAAATTCCCAGTTTCTCATCCACGCCCGCACTGATATCGTGCATCTCGCTGCCGGGTCAGAGTTTCACAGACCCGGATCTTGAGCACCAGCTGACCGAGAGTAAACAGTGCTGAGAGGAAGAAGGGAGAAGTTTCTGCTCTCGGTCTTCATAAAGCTCGCGAAAGGTTAGGATTTGCAAACGTTATATCATCGCCAAACGCTGGCAGAGATGACCTCGTCCAAACGAAGTGAAAGTGACTGGCAAGGTTTAGTGAACGAGGTGAGTGCTGCTTTGCTGAAACATGAAGATGATGATTATGAATGATGATAATGATGACGGCTGTTTCCATATGGCACTGCATCGCCAGCCACCTGAACTCAACAGAGATACACAATACACAAGCGTTTGTTACATTACTCGGGTAAATCAGATGCGTGCTTTGGTGGAGAGGTTTGACGCTGTCGAAGTGTCAGTTTTATCATCAATACGGTCTTGAAAATTATATATGTTTAAACGGGTTAAAAAGTAACTCATATAGATAGACTATATTTTCCAACAACATGGGGGTCCTCGTGTTATTATAAGGAAAAAAAAGAATTAAATGTGAATTAAAATTAGAAACATACCGATTTTTAGTTGTTTTAGCTTGTTTGAGTCATCTTTGAAGTTGGCTGAGGCCCACTGTTGAAATGACCAGACATTTTAAAATATATTTATATTTTTAATATACATTTATATTATATTATATAGATATATATAGAGATATATATTTTTTTTTTCTTTTTTGAGGTTGTAAATA